CGGCTTCCAGGAATTTTTAAATTAGCATCTTTTTTGACACTTTTAGATTATACGAAAATGTTAGTTTTAACTCAATACTCTTTTTCTCAATATTTTTTTAATTCAACCCATCGATTGTTATACATCGATTTAAACAGAAAGCTTCAAGCTTCAATTTAAAATAAGTTTTATTTCTTTATTTCAATAAATACGGTTTCCAGGAATTTTTTAATTAGCATCTTTTTTGACACTTAATAGGGGGATTGCATATTTTGCTAAAATTTTATTCCAAAGGCCTTTACTGAGTGTATTTTGATAGCGTTTTAATTCTGTCTGATTCTGTCACAAAGTTTCAAAATGTTTGACTTCTTGGGACACAAAGGGTTAAGACCTTGATATCAGTGATATTCATTGTTTTGGAGTTAGTTAACAAATAAAAATAAAAGAAATAGGGTATGTATCCTTCAAAATTGTATAGCTTTTTATCAGCCGCAAGCGACCTCCGCTTTATTAGTAAATATATTTTTGAAAATTGTGTAGCTTTACATCGATAATATGCCTCGGCCGCAAGCGACCTCGGCTTAAGTAAGATATACTTGAAAATCGTGTAGCTTTATATCTATATGCTATCGACCTAGTGCCTCAGCCGCGAGCGACCTCGGCTTTATTAGTAAATATATTTTTGAAAATTGTGTAGCTTTACATCGATATGGGATCAATAACATGCCTCGGCCGCAAGCGACCTCGGCTTAAGTAAGATATACTTGAAAATCGTGTAGCTTTATATCTATATGCTATCGACCTAGTGCCTCAGCCGCAAGCGACCTCGGCTTTATTAGTAGATATATTTTTTTAAATTGTGTAGCTTTACATGGATATGGTATCAATAATATGCCTCGGCCGCAAGCGACCTCGGCTTAAGTAAGATATACTTGAAAATCGTGTAGCTTTATATTGATATGCTATCGACCTAGCGCCTCGGCCGCAAGCGACCTCGGCTTTATTTGTGCATATATTTTTGAAAATTATGTAGCTTTGTGTCAATAAGGCATCGAAATAGGCAAAAAACCTCATGAGAAGTTAAAATTCAAAGATATATCTTTTGTTGTGTTAATACATTATAAAAGATGTCGCCACAAATACTTCCTAAATCATAATGGGATATTATTTGATATATTCACTCAGAGATGGCGCCACTAATTTATATACATTTTTTTTAATTATAAACTCAATTAATCCAATTTTTTTATCTCTGAATTACTTTTATTATTAAAAATTGGTATGAATCGATACACTTTAATTGTTTTCGAAGAAAAAATGATAAAACGCTTCCGATAAGAAGAAAAAATACGATCTCAACACAATCAATAATTGATTAGGATATGACTTAAACTTTGATAAAGATAAAATGTGACACATTGAAAAAAATTAATCGATAAGAACTTAAAATTTTGCGAATCTAAGCCGTTTTCTATTGCGTTTGTAGACCAAATTGAAGGTCAAAAAACTGCGCAATAATAAAGGAGCAATTGATGCCTTTTTAATTGCGTTTTAGTCGTGTGGTAATTTTCCGTAGAAAATATAGCAAAACTATCTAAATTGATTGGAAAATTCCTTTAAGTTTCGACTTAATTTGATTACAATGTTTTTGAAATATTTAACGAGATTTCTTTCTAATTATCAAAATCTATTGGAATTTGCAACATTTCGATTCTAAGAACGATTTTTTGACCTCTAAGTCCCAAGTCCATTTTGATTAGAGGTTATAAAAATTCCCATAGGATATAAAAGTTATAGGAAGCTTAATTTTTCCATAAATGGCGTTTTTATTAAATTAATTAATTTTTTTTTAATTAATGCGAGAAATCGTAATTTTAATTCGATTAAAATCGTTTTAAATAATTTTTTGATTTGAAATTTCTAAAAAAATAGTATTAAAAATCGATTTTTTGAGTAGTGGGGGTAACCCTCTCCAACAATTCACCTAATCTATGCAAAATTCGTAAACGTCACATTACGAATTCATCGAGACCAGTTTTTCTCCAAAAATAACCACACAGACGCCGTTAAGTCACGGTAAGTTGTATAACCGCTTAATTTGTACACGTGCCGTAATAATAATCGATCCAAAAACCTCATACAACCCCGATTTGAACTCGTAATTATAACATAACCTCAAAAAAAGGCAAACTAAAACTGCGTTTCCTTTTTACGTGTAACGTCAAAATCAGCTGAGTTAAAAACGAAATAATTTTTTTAATACTAAATTGGTGTGAGACGATAAAAATTTTTTAAATTAAATTCCTAATTAGATAAAGGTGGGGTTTGAGGACCACTTGAAAACGGAACAAAACGCTATAAAGATAAGAAACCATCAATTCGGACAAAAAAAAAAAAACTAACCTTAAAATATCATCCCAAAGGGGTTCCAAGTTCTACTTCAGTTCTGGTCCCGAACGCATCGCGAAAATGTCGTACTACAGCGACACGGATGACTCCATGAAGTCGTTTAGCGACATCCAAGACGATGGGGTTCGTAAGCGCAAAGCTTGGGAGGCAGACGCCGCTTCCATCGCATCAGAAATAAAGGATTTACTCGACGAAGACGTCAACTCGCTTGTTGAGGAGGATTGCATTGGGTGTCCGTTACCATCAACACCGGAAGATGAAAATGTTCTTGAATCTGAAATGAGCGACGTTTTAAAAGCTGCAGTTTTAGGTACAGGTAATGTAGTGATTCTTTTGTGTGTTAGAAAATGTTTTAATGTTGTGTTATAAAATCGTTTTATGTTAATTAATTTATTTTTTTAGGAGATGAAATCGATATAGCAGCTTTAGCCCATAACGCTGCTGAACAGGCGGAAGTAGTCGTTCGAAAATTGATTAAGGTTGGTTGGTCTGTTTGTGGATTTCATCATTTACCAGCTTGGCTTCAAGATAATGATTTCTTGAAACACGGCCATCGACCCCCGATGCCCTCATTTCGAGCTTGCTTTAAAAGCATTTTTAGGATACACACGGAAACTGCTAATATTTGGACTCATTTGTTGGGTTGCGTCGCTTTTATTGGTGAGTTTGTAATGATAAAGTCTATTTTTAACCAGTCCATAATTAAATTGCAAGGGTTTAAGTATGAAAATGTACTGTAATTAGTTTCTATTTTGACATGTTTCACTTGAACAAAATAAAATTATAATTAAAAGTCTTTAAAATTGAATTAAATACAAACATGGTCCAAAAACTGTCAAAATTTCGTGCATGTTTTGATAAATTTCCCAATATTAGGGAAATTACAATAAATAATACAGAATTAAATTCCCTTTCTGATAGGCTAAAAAAATATGGGGCGTTACATTTACAATTTTCGAATTTTTCGCCATTGAATATGGAGAAATCAATTTTTGACCACCCTGTATAAGATTTTTTAATACAACAAATGATAATCTATTTGATATCATCTGAAGAGTAATCGTGCCAATTTAGAGCTTTTTGGAATGAACGTTGGTTGAGATATGGGGTTTTAAAGGGTATGGTGAAATTCCATTTAAAATAACGAAGTTATGGTCTACTTCCGGTAGATCGGAAGTGGCGGCCATCTTGAAAACATTTTAGATCGAAAGTTCCGAATGAACAAGCTATGTTATCAAAATTTTGAATCTCTACGAATAGTGGAACCTGAAAAAGTTCTAACGAAAGAGTTACATGAAACATCCTGTATACATTATTAATGAAAATTACAAATATGTCAAAATTAAGGTCATATAATAGATAAATGGACAAGTTCATTGTATTCCTTATTAAAAAATCTTTAAAATGAGTCCAAACATGATACATTTATCTCAAAAAACAAAAAAGTTAGAATAAAAAACATTAAACCTGAAGTTGGCAACAATGAAGATGACAATTTAATTTTTAAATATTAATACCAACCTTAATTTTTGTTTTTTTTTGTATTACTTTTTCGTTTTTGTGACAAATTTTATAAAAATTAACAATTTATCAAAATGACATTGACATTTCAAACCGGAAATTGACCATAACTTCATTAATATTGAAATGAAATATATCGTGTTGGTACTCATTTCAAAGGATTCTTAATGACGATTACAAATACGTCAAAATTGAGGTTGACATTTCAAAGTTGACAACTTCATGGTGTTAATGTCAACTTTAATCTTGATGTATTC